TTTCAATTGGTTATGTTATACATTATCACAACAATTTCTAATGGTTTCGATAGGTTAGGATTATACTAGGTGTGATAATCATGTGATAAAGGTGTGATAATTATGTGATAAAGGTGTGATAATTATGTGATAGGGACCGTTATACATCACTTGAGTTATCATTTTAGTTGATAAGTTAAATTTTTGGTGTAATCATGTGATATGAGTGTGATATGGAGAAGAAGAAAACTAACAAGAGTAAAACGTGGAAACGTGATAGGATAATTATGGTTAATTAAAATAAAATAAAAATTACTTAATTACATTATTGCCCTTATTAAATTATTTATATATAATAAAAGTTAATTTATTAATTAAAACAGTTTGAGGTTATTAAGTTGTTATCGCGTTCTCGTAAATTATAGGGGTTCTCGTTTAAACCTCCACCTTTATATATATATATATATATATATATATATATAGGGGCTTAATCAAATGAGAACTAATTAGTTTTGTGGTAACCGTGAGGTCCAATCTCAACCACAAATCAATAGATAAATTAGGAAATTTATAATTTTGGTAATTTTTAATTAAAATTTTAATACAATGATATTTTAGGTATTTTCTCTCCTCTCTCCTCTCTCCGTCCCCGTCTTCGGGCCACCGTCCTCCGGCCTCCGGCCACCATCCTCCGGTGATACCATAGTGTGATACTCAAGCACATATAAATTGCATTGTGATACCACTGTGTTATATATCCAATCGACCGCACAAACGATCACAGTGTGATACCCAATCACATGTGTGATACCCAATCACATGTATGATGCATTGTGATACCACTGTGGTATCACCGGAGGACGGTGGCCGGAGGATGGTGGTCGGAGGCCGGGGGACGAAGAGAGAAGAGAGGAGATAGGAGAGAAAATACCTAAAATACCCTTACATTAAAATTTTAATTAAAAATTACCAAAATTATAAATTTCTTAATTTATCTATTGATTTGTGGTTAAGATTGGACCTCACGGTTACCACAAACTAATTAGTTCTCATTTGATTAAGCCCCTATATATATATATATATATATATATATATATATATATATATAGAGAGAGAGAGAGAGAGAGAGAGAGAGAGAGGTTGGTTATTATACAACCCATGACATTTGTGCAACCAATACAACTCAATCTCAACCGTCCATTTCATTTGATTAATATGTGATTTCATAAAAAATTTGATTGTTTTCTAATATAAAATATTGATCATAATTAATGAACCATATTCATCTTCTATAAATATTCAAATCATAATAAATGAACTCTCATCATTTCCATAAATATCTTAATTTATTGGGTTGCATTGGTTGTAAAAATACAACAGGTTGTATTTGAAACAAACTATATATATATATATATATATAGCTTTTGAGCAGTTATGATTTATAAGCAAACATTTTATTAAATTATGTAAAAAGAATGTGAATGAAAGTTAAGGGGACATGTCGATTAAGTGACTTCTTTTGCCTCCGATTACGTGATAATCTCGACAGTAATCTTTGTCGGCAAATTAACAATCATTACAACCACAACGTCGGCAACCATATTTCTCCCATTAATTAATTAAAAAAAAACTTAATTAACCAATCACTATATTAAATGAATCCCAGAAATAAATCTGAAAAGCTTCAATAAAAAATCCATCTCATTTCACATCAAATTTATACAAAATAATCACACATCATGCCACACAAATATCATACATGTCGCGGCAGACTTACGTATATTGGTTGCACATAGTTACGTATGTACCAATTAATGTTAGATGGGGTCGGGGACAATACTACCACCCACCAAACGAACATATAAAAAATGTTCAGGCCGATCCATACACGGTGGCGGATGCACTCTTCGATAAATGTTTTCTGATTCTAAAAAATCAATGATGAATTGAATCAGAACTAAAAAAGATCTTCGATGAATACTCAAAAATCATTTGCATGTTCTCGTTTCAAACCATATCAGTTTCAAAAGCCCCGAATTTAACATATCATATGCATTATTCCAATAATCATGCGATTTGTTACCATTTTTACAGTATCACGATTCACGAATTTTCAAGATCAAGGATGACGAATTTATGGTTAAAGTTTGATCGTTATAATATAAGACTAAATAAATTTTGTCCAAAACCCAAAATAAAAATAGCGCATACAGTGTAAATCAAAGTCAAAGAAACAACTAAAGTGGAATTAAAAGTGAATCCATACCACTTGTGGAAGGAATGATATTTTATGCTACAAATCAAATTGAAAAGAAAAAAAAAAAACAATATGCACTTTGGATACCAATCAACTATATTTCCTCTTATTTATTATTAAGGGCTGTTAATCAAACGTGTACTTCATAATAACAGGTGTCAGTGTCATTTACCTTCCAGGTGAACATGACAATGACCTAAAATCTACCTCGTAAGAGTTATAACAAGGACCGAGAATCTTACCCGGTAAATGAGATAGAAGATTTTTACCGGGTAAAAGACGCTCACAAACAATTCGTTTTAATGACCGACAATGTTATCAGATAAGGTAAATGAAGGTGACGTTCTTACAGGTGTCTGGTAAATGACCCCTTAACTACAATATACTTCAAGTAATATACAAGACAACTACAACAACGTAAGATCTAAAGGAAAGGTTATTAAACTATGTTAAAAACAGTATCAACTGGTTGGATAAAACTAATTAAAAACAATTTTAATTTAATTAAAAATTTACGATAATTGATTTTGGTCCGCTCATATTTTTATAAAATAAATGTAACAAATCCATGAATTTTTTTTATAAGTGATTAAATATCGTGGAAAAGCATGATATAAATTTAAAATATGATAAATAAATAGAAAATATTGGGCCAATAATGATAAGCATAATCCAGATTTGAGGAGGCCATAGACATTAAATGACCCAATATATATTTCAAGAGTGTTAAAAAACGAAATAGAACGATAATAAATATAGAAAAGAAACTGTATAATATTTTTTTAAGTATATAATATACGGTAAATGCAACAAATAAACTTATATATTCTCCTCACATTTGGTAATGTTTGAATCCCTAACCTTCTAGGAGACCAAAGATTACAATACCGCTAGGCCAAAGACCCTTTGATAACTCTGTAATTTTTATTAATCAAATACGGATAAGTTTATAACAAAAAGAAAATATTTATTATGATAAATTGTAATACTTTGAACAATCATTTTCTTTTGATCAAGACTAAGACATATAATCTTTCAACGAAAAGTGTTTTTTCTTTCAATAATTTTAACATGAAAAATTAAAAGGGGATATATTGAAGGATTTTTTTTAGAAATTTCAATGTATATTATATTAATTAAAATATTAAATTCATTTATTATTTTAAATTCATTTATAAAATTGTAAATTCAAACGACTATTTGGTAGATATAGAAAGACTAAAAATCTATTGATATCTGATTTCATTTCATGAAAAAAAATATCATTGAGTGATGAAATTAAATTATTAGAGAATGAACGATGATACTTAACCATCCTTATGCATAGGGATGGACCTACATGGTGTCGGTGGTGGCACGTCGCACTGTTTATTTCCTTTGTCGTAGTGTAAGTTTGTGTGCCACCGTATCAGTTTGTTATGTGTCATCATATTTTCTTATATTTGGTGTTTTATAATCAAATATGTGCCACCGTTTGAAAAAATTTATGGATCCATCGTTACTGATGCATATATACCTGTTAAAAAAGGAATAAAGAGTTCAGGTTTGATTGCAGTTTTTATTGGAAAAAGGCCAAAAAACAATTAATGTATTTTTTTCCTTCTCTATAATTTAATTTTGGATCTCCATTATACATAAAAAAAATTCTCTCCTCTCTTCTCATTTTAAAGAATATTTTAGAGATTATGTTGACATAAGAAAATATAACAAAAACTTAAGTAGGGTTTTAAATGGCATGTCATGACGTAACACACGTTTCTGACGTCACGTTAATCTCCACAGTGTCGGTGTAAAGCATAACTCATCCCATGAGCAGATGACCTTAATTGAGATATGCCATGACGTCAATTTCTTGCAAGGTGAAACCATTTTTTTTTTACGTTTAAAGATAAATTTAAGCTTTTTCATCTTGTAGATCTAGTGTGACACATTTTTGTCAATGAGCTTGTACATCATTTTTGTTCACTAAACATCATATTATTAGGTCACATCTTAAAAAACGTTACGTCTTCGTCGTGATGCGTAAGATTTAAGGTTCGATTTCACCATTAGAACCTTGTATCTAATGGGTTTGTTTTATCTTTGAGCATTTATTAATCACAAAACGTCAAAGCTAATTATGAATTAATGAGAATACTTGGAATCCAAATCTATAGTTGATAGAATCACACAATAATTTGTTGATATTTGGATAAAAGATGAATAAGAAACATGAAATATAATATAATATCCTTACAAAATGGTTAGAGATTCAATCATTTGAAGAATCTATATATAATAATACACTGAGAATTTTTACTTTAATGTGTTTGTTTTACGTAAAAAAAAATTCATCTAAAATTAGTATTTAATATAAGTTTCATGATATATTTATTTTACAATATAAACCTTCTCCAACTAAACATTGAAATTCTTCCACTTGATCCCTTGTGAATTGCAAGTAATAATTGAAGCCATTTGGGGATAACGATGGCATGCATGGGTTCGTTTTTAAGAAACATCACTCATTGGTTCTAGTTGTTTGGATAAAAAGTTGATTATTTATTTTAACCGTTTTCTTGACTAACTCAACTCTGCAACTGAAGGTCTACGATCCAACCCAGGACCTGACTTGTAATTGTAGTGGCAACTCATTGGTTTCACTTATTATTTTTCTTTTTAATTTGATTTTGCATTAATAAAAACTTGTTTAAATTAATAAAACCAACCAAAAATAACAACGAGCAATATCCATATACTTCATATAAAAACGAGGCATAGGTTTAACTAAATTAATTAGAGGAAAGACATAATTTAATTACCAAACCCATACCACCATTACAACATACATACACAATATAACAAGGCCCAGGGGTTATTTCTTTCGTTTTACATCATTATCATATGCGATGTTGCTGTAGCTGCAACAACCTACAGTATGCCCCATCGCCTCCTCGGCTAACTAATTCCCCATGGCTACCCTGTTCCACGATTCGACCATCTTGGACCACCCCAATATTATCCACACCTCGGATCGTCGATAACCGGTGGGCCACCAAAACCGTCGTTCGCCCTCTCATCAGCCTTTCAAGTGCTTCTTGAAGCACACATTCAGATTCCGCATCTAGAGCACTGGTGGCCTCATCTAGTAGCAATATTGCTGGGTCTTTCAGAACGGCCCTGGCTATTGCAATCCTTTGTTTTTGGCCTCCCGATAGTTGAACTCCTCTCTCGCCTACTGCTGTTTTATACCCTTGAGGCAAACCGCTAACGAATGCATGAACATTTGCGGCACGGGCTGCTTCTATAATTTCGGCCTCGGTGGCTCCATCTTTTCCGTAACCGATGTTCTCCATAATGTTAGCTGCGAATAGGGCGGGTTCTTGTTGCACCAATCCGATTTTGGCACGAAGGGATCTTAGATTTAACCGTCGGATGTCTTTCCCATCGATCATCACTTTTCCAGCAGTCGGGTCGTAGAATCGCTCGATTAAGGCGATTATGGAACTTTTGCCACAACCACTGGCGCCCACGAGGGCTTGGCTCTGGCCTGCCCGGATTCTAAGACTAAGGTCCTTGAATACGATCACATCGGGTCTTGAAGGGTATGAAAAGTCAACGTGACGTAGCTCAATCTCGCCTCTAACTGTTTCGACTGTCTCGGCATCAGGATCGTCTGGGTCAATTCGAGTTGATCTATCGAGAACCGAAAACACAGACCCAATGGCTTCACCACCTCTGATAATCTCGGGAGCAAGGCTGACAGTTTCAGCTACAGAGTTGGCGGTAATGACCAAGACCACAAACACTTTGATGACTTTAGAGAAGGTGGAGACACCTTGGCTAACGAGATGGGCCCCGTACCAGAGGATTAGAGCTTCGGAAGCAAAGAGAGCAAGTTGGGAGATACCAAAAAGTATGCCGGAAAACTGACTGCGGCGAAGGCTTTGCTTTTGGGGGACACGAAGTTCGTCGGAGAATAACGATAGGATCTTGTCTTGGGCATTGAAAGCTGCAATGGTTCGAATGTTGCTCACTCCTTCCCCTGCAATCATGCTAGTCTTGGCATGTGCCTTCGCGGTGTCTCCAGCAAAACCTTTGAGAGAAAGTTGCTGCCAATTCCATATCACAGGGTTAACCACCAACATATATAGTAATCAGATAATACCCAAATTAAGACTTTCATATTTGTAACAACTCACCATCCCACAAGAATAAAAAAAAGGCAGATTTCGCTTAAAGTTGTACACTACCAACAAGGTAACCAGATTCTTGATGGAGAACTGGACCAACAACCATGTTTCTAATTACTAAAAAAGAGCTGCTTTCTTTGCTTTTCAGTGATTGAGACTTGTTTACGAATTGAGATTCCTCAGCTTGTCTGCTATCCAATGGATTTGGTGTTACTTTTAAAGTCCATCAGTTTAAATGGGTTTTACTTATTACCGGCTGTGTAAAAAGGAGATAAAAATATATAAAAAGTACCACATGTCTACACAGATACCAGGAGTGTTGTCTGTGGGAAATTGAACAAAATAACATATCTTTCCAACCAAATTTACTTTTTAGTCATTTTTGAAACCAAATTCCTATTTTAGCCAGAATTTATGCAAACACATTTGCATAAAGCCGATTTCCAAATTAACAAAAAGAAGTGTCTAAAAAGTGGATCCTTGCGCATATTTGCATTAAGACTTTTTTCTTTTTAATCTCTAACTAAAACGGGAATTCCTTTATAAAAATGGCTAAAAAGTGAAGTTCATAGGAGAGATGGGCTATTTTGGTCATTTTATTCTATTGTTTAATGGGTTGAACCCCACATAGTTAAGGAGGATGTATGCTAAAACAAAAGGGACATTACTAGTATTTTTGAAAAGTGCAGAGATGACAAGTTAAAAGAAAAAGGGTGGGTGGGTGTGGAGCCCGAAAGTGTAAAGAGAAGTAATAGAGTAAAGGACAAATAGAAACAGATGGTAAGTAAGGTGAATGGTGAGTATGCTAAAATCCGAAACACTGTTGAAAATGAGAGGGGCAATGGCGTCAGTAGTTCAGTACTACACAGTAGCTCTAAATAGACAAGAGAGCCTCTGATGACACCGTAAATGCAGCCCAAAACGACACTCGAATAATGAAGGGTTAGTGAATGCCATATGCATCTTCTGACATCTCCAACCTCCCATTCAAATTACAACTAAAACTGAAGCCTAGATGTAAATGGTATGGTGCTCCATGCAAAAATCACGGGCTCAAAATATCTGATAAAACTATTGCCAATCCACATCTAAATTTAGATACTATTCATCAACAGTTCTTATTTTTATATGTTTTATGGGTAATGGTCTAAAGGTTTGTCGACAACGAGGTCAAGTCTCAAATCTTACACGTTATGGCTAGTAATTTGTATGTTATATGCAGAATTATACATATACATACATGTTATTTGTATGTATTGTTCAATTATATTAAAAAATTACATTAATATTAGAAGAAGGAAAAAATAATATACATTAGTATTATATAATTATTCTTCAAATAAATGTTTAAAATAGAACTTGGAAGAATAATTTTACAACTTCGTTTAAATCGTTAAGTCCATGATGTATGTAAAGTTTGTAAAACTGTGATTAGGTAAATATATAAAGGTGTAAAAACACAAAAGTTGAAAAAGAACTAAAAGAGTAATTTCTTTTTTGAAAAAGAATCACACTTCGTAAAAAATGCCATAATGTAATTCAAAGACATGCGAAAACGTTATAGGCCATATCACACCATTGGGTCCGCCATGACACGCCTTTAAAAACCGTGACTGAACTATGTTAGCAATTAAGTGGACTATATGATCTAAATTCGTGAGTTTAAAGTCAGAGACAGAGCTGAAATTTAATGTGCAAGGTCTTTTTGCATGAATGTAGACAAATACTTTATTGGCTAATATATTTTATTGACCTTTTCAAAATTCGTGATGATAGATAAAATATATAAGTTAATATACAATACATCTAATTGAAACTAACCGTCTATAAAACAAACGGTAAGCTCCATAAACATTAATGATCATCCTAGATTCCTAGATTTACCAACACCAAGTAAAATTGTGGAAAGATATAAACGAGGACAAATTCATGTTAATTGGGTTGAAAATGGCAAAGAAAGTTTAAGGGCTCAAGAAAGAAATTGAAATAAAAAAAAAGATGAGAAATTTCCTAGTGGCATTGATGTTGATGGGGAATCTTTTACCAATTTTGTAAAACTGACATCTGTATGCAGCAGGATTATTTTATTACAAGGGTCGTCAGGTCTGGGTTTCGGGGAAGCATACTACAAATTGGAGGCAGCATGTGCAAGATACAAGAATTGACTATACCCTTCTTGTCGTTACTGGAATCAAGATTCTGTGGGTTAAAAAACAAGCTTGTATATAATCTTTATATTCTTTTTATGTTAAATACTAATTAGTATATAATTAAGTTTAATTACTATCAAAGCATGTAGGTACCTGAGCAAAATGAGCCAGGACAAGAAGAGGGAAGGTGCCGAGGATGAGAAGTGAGACCCTCCATTCCACTATAAATGCAACTACAAATGAAGTGAGGAGAGATGTCATGTTCTGCAATATAACCGAGATCCTCTCGGCGAGGGCAGATTTCACATCCGCAGCATCTGTTGCTAGTCGGGCTGCAACTAGACTAGAGTTATGATCCTCCTCATCGAACCATCCAACTTCATTCCTCAAGATTGCTGAACAACAAGATTAAAACTTTTAACATTGTGAATAATGATATGATCGATTGAAAATTGAAGAAAGGATGGAATGGAAGTAAATACCTGCAAGCATCATCCTTCTTACTCTTGTAGTAAGATTCTCTCCCATAATGCTAAAGAAGTAATGCTGGATAAGATACGCTACTACAGCATACAGACCGGCTCCAACGTAGATGAAAACACACTCTTTGATCTTACTCTCCATTCTAGCAGGGTTAGTGTAGTAAAAGACCTCAATCATATTGCTCATCACGATTGCGAATGTTGGACCGATAAATCCAGAAAGAATCGATCCTACAGCACCCATTATAGAATAAGGCCATTCTGGAGCATTCATCTTCAGAAGGCGGAAAAAGTATCCACTTGGTGCTGGATTCTTCCTATCTGTTTCTGCATTGGAGATCATTTCGATACGACCATCTGCACCAGTGCTGTATTGATAGCTTAGATTTCTTAAGCTTCCGGACCTGAGGCTGAGAGACTTTGTTGATAATGAATGACTAAGTCGTGTTGAACGTGTGCGATGGGTCGAAGGATTTGAGAAATCTCTGTTTCCCGCCATTTCTTGAAACCTAATTAAGGAAGCATAGGCCCCGCATTTTGAAATTAGTTCTTCATGGGTTCCCATCTCGACAACTTGTCCTTGTTGAATGACTGCTATTGAATCAACATTTCTTATGGTAGAGAGACGATGTGCGACAACAACAGTCGTCCTTCCGACCATTAGACGGTCAAGAGCTTCTTGCACAATGCTCTCAGAACCCGAATCAAGGGCACTGGTTGCCTCATCAAGGAGCAAGATCTTTGGGTTCTTCAACATTGCTCTAGCTATTGCAATTCTCTGTTTCTGACCACCAGAGAGCTGGACTCCTCTTTCCCCAACCTGATTTTCAACTCATGAACCTTTAGTTTGAGACATAACTGATGTGATTGTGTAGTGTGGAAAGTGCACAGTTCTCTTTGGATTGCAGAAAATAGAAACCAGATACTCTGATTTGCACATAGAATCAGAATATCGATTGTGGATAAAAAGCTTAAAGCAAAGAGGCTCTTATGCACTTAAACACCTGATGGTTTCAAAGAGTCTGGATATATACACACCTGAGTGTTATAGCCACTAGGAAGCAAGGTAATGAAGCTATGAGCATTGGCTACAGATGTAGCAGCTTCCACTTGAGCCATAGTTGCATCAGGTTTTCCGTAAAGTATGTTTTCAAGTATAGTGGTGGCGAAGAGTGCAGGTTCTTGATTCACAAGACCAATCTGATCACGCAACCATCGAAGCTGCAGTGTCTTTATGTCCACATTATCTAGCAGTATTTGACCTGCATAGCCATTCAAGTAGGTAACAAACAACTAGTTAAAAGGTGGCAATCTGATTGATACAAAATCAACCAACATTAGCATAATTACAGAATACATGAACAAGGCTTCACCTTGATTAGGGTCATAAAACCTTTCTATTAAGGAAACAACAGTGCTTTTCCCAGATCCACTACCACCAACTACTGCAACTGTCTTTCCGGCCGGGAAGAAAATAGAGAAATCTCTAAAGATAATGACATCTGGTCGTGAAGGGTAACTGAAGGTTACTTCCTTGAACTCAATATTTCCATTGACCTCAGTTAAACACTTCCCATCTGCAGAGTTCTGAACTATAGTGGGTTTTTGCTTTATAATTTCTAGCAACTTGTATCCAGCTGCTTTGCCTTTGCTAAATGCTCCAAGATTTGAAAATGACTGGCCTAAACTCCTGTTATGATTACTTAATTTGATTAAATCATGGAAAATTTATAGTTGATTCCGTTTGCTAAACAAGATAACAATGATTTTTACACAATCTTACATGCCGCCAACAATGGCAGAGAAAATGGCCGTAAATGCTCTTCCACCATCGGTCTGTCCATTCCTAATAAACACACCTGCATACCAGAAAACAAGTGCCCAGGACATGCAAGCTATTCCATAGGTACATCCTAGCCCCAATCCCTTTGCCATTCCGGCCTTGTAACCAAGCTTGAGGGTGTGCTGTATTGCATCGGAATATGAATTGAGGGCCTTTGTCTCGCCAACATACGAGTACACTGTCCTAACTTGTGCAATAGCCTGTTGATAGAGAACAACTTTAAAAGGTGACAGAAAAACATCAAACATCCTTATGTCACACATATAGTCTGTTGATAGAGAACAACTTTAAAAGGTGACAGAAAAACATCAAACATCCTTATGTCACACATAAAGATAGAAAATCTTGACAGTTCATATAATCAACACTGTTACAGAAAACTTTTAGAAGCCAGTAAATCTCTTTTCTTAGTCCTCGGCAATCATTAGTCCAGCATGAATGTTTCTTTTTAGATACTGAAGGAAAAAGTTAATTAAAATTTAAAGATCAAAAGAAATTTACCAACCACGTACGTATGTCTATATGATCAAACCACCACACTAAAGGAAACAAGAGGCCAAAAGTGAAGGGGTAAAAGTAAAGGACCACGAGGGCAAAGTGTTCTTTATCATTGCGGCGCATGCAACGTATTATATGATAACAAGATTTTTAAGCACTTCACTAGCACTGGTACCCACAAACTTTATAATTAATATCAAGGAAAATAAGTGAAATCAAGAAAATCATATTGTAACCACTTGGGTTGTGGTGTACTACTTAATAGTCGAAGTCTCATTTTCCCTAGGTTCAAATCCGCCAAAGCGTCTTTGACCATGGAGGTTCACATTCTCCAAGCCAGTTGTGATTTATCAGGGGATCAATCTTGGCCGTAAACTTCCCCGAAAACCCATGGTTACCCAGAATAAAATAAAATAATATATTGTCCCAAAATCCTACTCACATCCCTATCTCACCGAAGAAATTAAGGAACATCAGACTTTTATATATTTTAAATTTATTTAATTCAAATTTACATTATTTATAAAAGCACAGCTAAGGTATCTAGGTGAGAGGCTGACCTCCTCGGCGATGATTCCAGCATTGGCATAGGATTCACGGCTTTTGGAAGTGAGACCTGTGAGAGTATATGCATATAAGCCCCCGGCAAATGCAATTCCTGGAATAACTGCAATACTCAGCAAAGCTAGCTTCCACGCTGAGACGAAACCAACCACCAATCCAGCCAAAAATGTCGAAAGATAATGGATAAAGTTTCCCACCTAAAATTTAGTACACTGAAAGTGAGTATTTAATTTTGGACCTAAATTTATAGGGAACTTGGTTAACGAAGCATTCGAAGGCCCAGACAAGGAAATCTTCAAAGATGCTTTTTGACCGGCGCAAACTAAAACATACACACTAACGTGCACCACAAAGATATTCCAGTTCGGGCCACGCTGATCTACATGCACCATGATAAATATACCAAAACCAGCCACCAGAAATTATGATTTCCAGTTTCATACCCCGGTCCTCGCAACAGGTTTACATTACACCATTACGGTGCAGACGACGTCGTCTTAAATAGAATATTATATTGTGGGAAGAACTTGAAGAATGCTAAAATTGGAGTAAATGGAAAGAGAGATTACCTTCTCGCTTATGGCATCTTGGACAAGGAGAGTGTCGGTTGAAACACCAAAAACGATATCCCCTGTTCTCGCATCTGTATCGTAAAATCCGACGTCCTGTTTCAGAACTGCTTCCAAATACCTCTTTCTCAACGCGCTCACTTGCCTTTCTCCAGTGTACATCCAACACCCAATCTCTGTTCATTTTCAATTTTAAACATACTTAATTTGACTAACTGTATATCGTGAGTAATTTTGGCAGATAAAAACGAGTTAAGAGTGGAGATTTGTGTTACGCATTAAAATATTACAGATAAATTGACCAGGTGAGAGACGAAAGGTATAGAACCCACGTGCACCTGATCTGTATTGAACTGACTTAAATAAGAAATTGCAGATAATAAATGCCAAAACAATTTGTTTTCAGAGAGAGAAAAGGAAAACAGAGAGACAATAACGGATCAAGCGTAGCTTAGTTCACCTGCATATGATGATACGCAAACGACCAGTCCAAGATAGACGAAATACAAAGCATACTGCATTGATTTAGAGGAAACAAATAACCAGATCTCAATCCATTGTACATTGAACAGTTAGTTGAGCTTTTTTCCGTTGAATTTTTTTTAAATTTAAAACGGAGAATAGATGTAGCAGTAACGAATCACCTTAGAGACTTCATGAGTCATCGTACTCAAATCCGATTGGTTTTTGCCGAATCCATTAACCATTTGACCGAATAACAGGAAGAAGAAAGGCATAGAAGATCCGTGAATGATGGCACCAATGCTACCTAAGATCATAAGAAGGTAGTCAAACTTATCTGCAAATAAAAACAACTGATAGAACGGCAGACTCTGCTCTTTCTTCTTCTCCGCCTGTGCCGGCATTCCCTTCGCCGTCTCCGTCATTTTACTAAATCAGCAGGGTCACTCCAAATCCGGTTGTATGCAGAAACTCTTTCACAGGAGAAATGTTGAGAAGAGATAAAACGCCATTGAAAGAGAAGTTCACAGACCTCGGTGTGGGTGGGAGTCTGAGTCTGAGTCTGAGACTGGACTTGTACAAAAACGAGGTCAGGAGAGAGGGAGGAAGGTGAGGTTGGTTATATAAAAGAGGAGGGAGGGGGAGAGTTTAACCATGGTTAGGTTAAGGACAATATGGGAAATTGGGAATTTCGAAAACAAAGCTCTACTGACTACAGGTAGTACCAGATCCGGTTCTGCTCCCAGATGGATCCTATCCGACCCATCATTCTACCTTGCATTTCCCAACAAAAACTTTATCTTAATACAAAATATAATAAAATTAAATTATTGTAAATTAAGTACTTAACAAATGTTTTAGTTACATTTAAACGTGTATGAATTCAGTATATTGTGATAACTGTGAAAACTTACTTTAAAGTTGTAACAAATTCTTTTAAATGGATGGAAAATGAGATCCGTAGTCTTATAAGCCTTAACTTGTAGGCTACCAATAACTTTTACCATGGTTTTAAATAAAGACGGACCGACAATTTTTTTTCAAATGGCACCATTTAACTATAAAAACAAATATAGGGATATTTTTTATTTGGTTTGTTGGCTAGTTCATTGTTTTCCATATTTGAGGGTTCAAGTCTTTTATTACAAAAACAATTCAGAAATATAATATATCTGAAATTAAAAGTTAAAGTTAATAAAATGATACTAATGGGATTTGAAGTCGGGTCTAGGGTGGAAAAAAATTCTTACAAACAACTCGACAAAAAAAATATGTTCTCGTTATAGTTTCAAATATATATGATGTCACAAAACAAATTAATATTGGTGACACTTTTCACAAATCTAAAAAATTTTACACTACGACGTATGAATAATACGGTGGCCCATTGGGTTCATTTATGGGTCAGTCTGTTGATTTAGGCTTTGAGGTGTTATGAAAGTATTATTTTCACATGATTTGGTTCATCTAAAGTTAGTATTTAATTATTGATCAATATATATTTGTTTCACAATATGTTTGTTTTATGTGTATTATGTTTATAATATGATATTTTTTATGAATTATTTAAAATAAAAACATATCACTAAATGAATCAATATTCCATTTTCTTTTTATATATAAGTTAGTTGTAAATAATTTGTAAATAGTACAATCTATCGTCTATAAATCTTTATATCTTTATAGAGATGACATGGCACAATGTGAATCGAGAATTCCAAAATATTGAATTGTAGTTAACTTTGGTCATCCAACAATGATATGTTTACTAAACGTTTATCCAGTAAGTGCTTACTGAGTAATTTTTCTTGCCGGATGAACATGACAATGGTCAAAAATCTTACCCGGTAAGAGCGATGATAAAGATGAAGAGTCTTACTCGATAAGTAAAAGTGACGACTCTTACCCGGATAAGTTGTTGCATACGATATCATTTTGATGTACTACAATTTTACACGGTAAAATAAATTACAATATTGACTCCTAACGATAAAAGCTTACCGGGTAAGCATTTACGTAAATGGCCCCCAAGAATGAGATGGCACAATAAATTTTTAGTATTCTAAGATCTTGAATTGATGTGTTGGTTTGGTTATTCCACATCGGTGTCGAGATGATAACGTGAAAGCGAGAGATGAGTATATGAAAGGAGCAGGGATGTTTTACCTAATTGAAATTATTTGTAGCAACTTAAAAGGTTAGCTTTTTTCCTGACTTAGTTTTACAAAAAAAGTATATTTTTATAATTATCGTTTTCTTTGTCAAAATTGTACAATCAATTCTTATAATATTAGTTCCTAATAAAAAAACCATCATCATCGTGACACATTAAGATGACGTTTTTTTTTTAAGAGGTGCTGAAATTTGAAGTATGATTTCACTTATGATTTATAAGAGGTGGTCTTCAAGTCTGAAATATGGATTAGTAAGATTGTTTGTGTTTTACGTCTGAAGTCTAAAATATAAATCGGTCAAACTAGTACAAAAATATATAAAAATAAATAAAAAAATTTACAAAAGTGTAAAAGATGAATAGTTTTTGTTAACAAATCTCTTAGAGTCCTCAAAATATGAACCATGTGATAGAAGATGAATTAGGATTAAAAGATATTAAAAAATATATTTACCACTTAAAATTTCAGAGGACATTTAGGGGTTGTTTGGTTCATGAATTTGGATGGAATTGAAAGAAATTGGAATGGCCAAATCTTTTGACCAAATTCCAAATACAATGTTTGGTTCGTGGAATAAAAATGATGGAATCATTTCAATTCCAATAAATTCATTCACTCACGAATTTTACATTCCAAGGCAATACCCTCGGATTTCAATTCCTTTATGACAAATTCCTTCCCTAATCCAAATTCATTCAAATTCCATGCAACCAAACGCAATCACAAGGCATGGTCAAATTCCATTAAATTCTATTACATTCCTTCAAAGTCAAATTTATTTGATGAATTCCAATTCCATCGAATTTCATTCTATGAACCAAACACCCCCTTAGAGTTTCTAAGCTCTTATTTTAAAAATAAAACAAATACTCTTAATATCCAAATATCTGAAACATTCAGACTTTAGAGATATTAAAAAGTAATTTAAAAAAAAAAATAGGCCCTAAGTTAAGAATGAAACGTTTAAACTACATAATCAACCTAGCCAACATTTTCTTACGCCTCTAATAGTGTGGGCTTTGATGCAGGATTTGGGCCTCTATTGGTATATGGACTCAATCCAGCCCACTGGACTCCATTTCACCAACCCAACGACGGAAAACCTTTATTCGTTTTATATTTAAATTACAAAGTTAAAATTTAAAAAACTAATAACAAACAAATCTATAGAATTATGATTGTTTATACTATATTATAAAGTATTTGATAATAATTTTTAAAAACTATTTTTTATACATAAATTATTAT